TACATACTGACACAGGTGATCATAAATACAATAACCATACAGTATGAACTTCAGTTTCTTGTAAAGCATTTAAAGTCTTGTAAAGTTAAAAGTTGTGATGGACTCAAAGCATTTAAAGGTCTGTTGTCTTCTCCTCACAGATGTTCACGGATGGCAGCAGAAAATCATTTTGTGTTTCAGTGTAAAAAAGTGTTTATGTGCTAAAGAAATAAATATTAAAAATAACACATAATGCAGTTTGTTTTTCTCAGAGGTTATTAAAGCAGTGATGAGTGAGCCTGATGTTTTACCCACACTGAGGTCACACAGGAAGCTGTGTTAGAGTGGTGCTGATTTCTGATGCTGCAGATATTTGAAGCTTTAAACTGCACTCAGAGGTGATGTGAACGGGTTTCCTGACAGTTTCTGAGCTCTGACAGTGAAACAGAAGCATGGAGCTCAACCTAAGGACCTTCATCTTCTTCATTGGTAACTATTTTGTGAACATGACTGATGTTATCGGCTGAGGTTAAAGGTGAGCTTCAGTGTGGGTGTGGTTTTAGAGCCTCAGCGAATAAACGTGAGCAGAGCTCTTACTGAGGGAATCGTGTTAGTGCTTCATCGAGGACAGACACAGAAATGGTCTTAAAAAGTTTTATGTGATGGGTTCTCGATGATATTAAGTTATATGCTTGTGATTAGTTCCAGGTAAAAAGATAATTGATTAGATATGAGGTAGTGCGGTTCAGCCTTCAGCTAAACGTACTCGTGTTTATTGCTGAAGTGAAACAATATGGTGGACGGGTTGAGTTTCATACCTGTACCCTCACACAACCTGCTCACATTCACACATGTAGCAGAGGAGCGGCTTCTTCATGAACACACAGAGGGCTGATGCTAAATAATGTTCTGTGTTCTGCTGTGTGTCCCACACAGACGTCAGGGTTATACAGAACATTCGTTTATGATTATCATCGATGTTGGAGCCAAGTCCAGGCCAATATTTTCGCTATAATCATTATAAGATATATGGTTTTATCTACATTACATAGATGCAAGAAGGAAATTCTCATATCTGTTAATGTGCATGTGAGCGGAAGCTGAAGCACTCGAGGCCAAAATAATTAAAATCTTTAAAAGAGAAACATGGTGCAAAGTGAGCACAAACTTTCAAAATGAATTAAATAGCTTTATGTGAGAGCATCCAGATAAATTATAATGAAAAACATTGCACATTGACTAAAAGTGAACGAAAGCTTCATTAATACCAATACTTTGTGTTTGTGGCTGACCTGCACCCAAACGAGCTGCTCACTCTTCGACATCTTTTCAATCCTCTCCCGTTTATCCTCCTGTTTGACTTTCTTTCTCTTACCGAGAGAGCCTCTCTTTATTTCCACCAAAGAGTTTAAGCTCGTTGAAATTTAGGAACAACAATCTATAAGCAAGGCTGGTATGTTTGCATTAAGTGACTGCTTGACACATAATGCTCAGATATGTATTGAGGGGATACATGTCTTCTCTCTGCATTTTGGAAATGAATGTGTGATTTG